AACAAAAATCTATTTATCATAAATTCACATTTTTAAAAATTAACTAAATTACTAGGGATCAAGCATAACAACATTATGAAGTTTAATTGAATTAAAGCATTATTTTTTTTATATCAAAATAAAATTTTATATTTATAAAAATTGCTATTTTTCAAAATCACCCGATACAAAATCTCGAATAAATACTTAAAATGACCATACTATTATATCAATAACATATAAAAAGTTACACACATAAAAGATATCAAAATCTAATAAAATTGCATTTTTGCAAAACCAAATTATAAATTTGATCAAAAAAATCTACTAAACATTGAATTATTGAAAACTGAGATTGACAAAATGAAACCTACCTCGATTCAAGTAACTTTTTTAACTTGGTCGTTGAATAAAAATGACCTGAATCTGCCCGAAATGAATTTCATCTCACTAGAAAACCCTCTCTCTCTCTAGGCACAGCTAAGAAGGAACAAAACATATGAAGATTGAATTTGTCTATTTATAATACTAAAATTTGTTCTTGCATCGATATCGCGATGCCCTACGACGTTGGCCAAGACGCCACTCTATAGGATTTATTGTGCCACCTCCCAGAGCACGTGCCAGAGCGCTGAATTAAATGCAAATTTTCTCGAAACTTCATGATCGAGGTGCCAAAAATACAATGTCGAGGAACTTTAGGGAAATTTTCAAAATTTTCCAATATGCATTCAAACTCTAGACCCTACTCCACCACTCATGCAAATATTTTTCATACACAAATTATTTTCAAACAGTATCAAAGTGTTCAAAATGCAGAGATTCGAGCAATTACCTTTTTCAAATAGGACCAAAACAAGTTGAACTGAGTACTGATTTTGGAGTTACCAGATTTTAGTGGACTTAAAACTGTTTATAACCTTACGAGAAGGAAGATTCTAACTGACCAAATTCACTAGAAGTTTTTAATGTCATTTCAGAAGCAACACATATTAATGCTCTACAAAATTATTTTTACTAAATGGTTATTTGTTGCTCTATTTCTACTGTTTGTTACGGTGAATTATTACGTCCGGTTACCGGACGTTCGGACATCCAATTCAGATGCACCACGTCACACAAATACACCGGGGCCCGATGTATTTGAGTGACGTGGCGCGTCTGGATTGGTGTCCGGACAAATCCGGACACCGGACGTAATAATTTTCCGTTTGTTACAGCATTAGAAAAGTAATACGCCTTAAAAGTCGCCACCTAGGCATAAAAGGATGAAGTTTTGAGACTTTCTTGGTATTATAGACATTTTTATGATGACTTCTTGTTTCTATTCACGGCTGCAGAAATTAATATGTTTCTCTGCTCAAGTAGCTTCTTATTTAAGCGTTCTTTTGATGTAATTATTTTCTATAGTTAATGAAATTGGACTTAGGCCATATAATTTCAGGAAAAAAAAAAAACTGTAGTACGTGAAATTATTATTCCACCGTTGATTATATGACATTCATTTATTATTTAGTACTGAACTACGTGACCACTTAACATGCACGACAATTAATGCATATTCTAAGTATAGATAAAAAATAAAAAAATAAAAGAATTTTAAGATTTTTACTAAAATACATTTAATAAAAATTATATAAAGATTTTCAATAATTTCTGTCAATGTAAGTATAGTAGAATAAATGTATAAAAAATAGATTAAAAATAAAAGATATTAAATATTTTTTTCTTAAATGTATTCTTGCCATTATATTTTTAGTACATATCTTCTATTTTAAAATTTTCTCTTTTTAAATACTTTTATAATTTATATTATGATAAAAAAATTTAATGCAATTGCATTATTTATTTAAAAATTTTCTAAGTTGTTTTCATGAATTAAAGTGGGTTAGGACATCTTATTTGGGATGTAAATGAGTTAAGTCAACTCATGAGCTAGTTCAGGCTCAATGAGCTAACAAGCCATGCTGGAGCAAGCCTTGAATAAAAAAATTTTAGCTATGGAGCAAGCTTATTTAAAA